CCCAAAATTAAGATCTGATTATTGTTGCGCACACAATAACCAACCAATAGCAGATTCTGTGTCAAGCCAGGATCATAAAGCACATTTCTGAGTTTTATTTCATCGTTAGAATCCAAGTAATGAACATCCCCTTTGCCTTTTACTGAGTAAGTTCTACCATCCGCCTTGGCTACTGACTGCTGCTCAGGTGATCTTTCCAAACTAGTAAATATTTCATGATCACCCGAGAAGTGTTTTGAGGCCCCACTATTGATTATCCACTCCTTTTCTTTTGAAGCCACTAATAAAACATGCAATGCATTCTGAATCTCACTTTGGGTGGGAAACCTTTCTGCTGATACTAGATTCGTTTTATGTTGATAACAGTTCGCAACCATTGGCTCTGACACTCGGTAGTGTCTAGCGATGTGGCCCGGTTTGCCACACTGGTGACACACTGCTGTGGTTGTGTATTTTCTTCATTCCCCAGTAAAAGATCTTGGCTGTGTGGATGACCTTCGAAAATTGTTGTTTGTATTATTCAAATTTCGGTAACCTCAAGCTGATTTCTGTCTCTCTCTTGGACTATTTCTTGTTCTGAAAATAAAAGCTTCCTCATTCTGCCCTGTTCTCAAATCTGTTCTTCACGCTATAATACACTCTGCATCGTACTCTACCACATTTTGTAGTTATCGAGTCCTGGAAGCATTTTCGACTGTGCAATCACAACATCCATTGATTCCATCTCTTCCTCTCGTTGATCTAGTGACTTCTTTCTCTTTAAAATCATTCGCTCTGATACCATATTGCGACTTCACGATCAAAACACTAACACATTTATTGGTACACTCCAACAAGGTTATTCTCTAGAAAGAGTCACAGAGGATAACATGACACACTGTAGCTGTGAAGTAACGCAACGACAGAAAGTAACCACACCGAATCACACACGGACTGTTAACCTCAAGAGAAAGGGACACCACTACAGGTGTACCGAATGAACTGATCTTATACAGGACGATTACCCCAGTCTTTAATAATAGATATCTAGCTTAAGGATATGTCCCGACAGTTACAGTTGATGTCTGGGTGCTATTGAGGTTTGATCGAGGTTTGATCGAGGGGGCGTCTGTCCAACATTCTGTTCCTCCAGAGTTTGCAAACCTGTTTCACCCACTCCCCAGATAACCTCAATCGGGGCTCTTCTCCTTGCTCAAACATATTAAGAAAACCGTAATGCAGAGAAACCAAGCCATGTGATCAGCGGGGCGGGGGGGCGAAGGAGCATCGTCATACAGTCAGAGAGGTGTGCAAGCTTCTTCAATTGCTTCCGACTCAAGCTCTCCCAGAACTGCATCAACTTGACGTGGATGAGCTTGAGGTTGTGCAACTCATTCAGCGGCAAGGTCGACATCGTCATCCTCAGTCGAGCATACTGAATCTTTATGTCCAAAACGGGAAACGCTGCATGGACGTGCTCGACCTGCAGGTCGATGTAGCTCATGCCTGCACCCACACTGGCGATCTCTTCCCGCAGCTTGCGTAGGTCCACCACGGCCGCCATCTCCCTGGAACCGCAACCGCTGCTTTTATTGCCATAAGAGGCCACAGGCTCCACCAACTTTCACAAGTCCGAAACTTTGCTCTCCATTCAACCATTCCCACCGCAAGAGCTTCGAACCCACCTCTTGAAACTGGCACCCACCTTCTTCACCGAACACTGGAGCAGCAGATCGTCGTGAGGTTAGCAACAGTGCAGAGGCCAATGCTTCCACTGCAATTGCAATTGTGAGTCGGATTTATCAATCAGGTTAACATTCCAGCAGTGAGATTATTATTGTTATTATTATTATTATGTGTAGTTGCATCCATGCAGCTGAAACTGCCACAAATCACCTTACAATTCTTGTATGAATCCACCAGGTCTTTGCTTAACTGACTCGGCGTCGTGGCTCCAGGCAATCCAGATTGATCGATGACTGTGTCTCGTCCGTTTCATAACTTCACTTACTTTTAAAAAAACAAATTTCCCTTTCCTTTATATAGATATATATATATATATATATATATCTATATATATTTGTGTGGAGAATGCAGTTTAATCTGCTACATTCTTGTGTGGCATTGGCCACTTATTTGAATTTCAACTCAAATAAAATAAAGGAAACAAGTATTGGTTGGGTGATTGATGTGTCTGGAGGGTGGAGAACAGAGGACTACATTGCAAGGAAGGATTGATGAAGGTTGAGTTTGTAACTTTGGCGTTCAGATGAAATTAGAAACTAGTATGTTTATTTATTTGTTATTTTGAAAAGTTAGATTCATAAATTTTGTATTAGCATCCATGAAGGAAGGGCAAGAATTTTAAAGGTGGAATTTGAATCACTATACTCATGGTATTAACTTGCTATTTTTTGATAATTAAAGATTGTTGAGGACCAAAAATTAGTGTGATTTTGAGGTGAATCTTTTTTAACAAATTATCATGAATTATCATTAATAAGAAATTTTTGACCAATTAGAAAAAATAAAAAGTACATAAATATATACATTTTAAAAGAATCTATAATCTAAAATTTGTTACAATAGATAAAAAATTATCACACACAATAAAACAAAATCAATTGTAATTTCTTATTTGCTAATGTAAAATTCTATAGATAATCTTCAACATCAATTATTTTTTTATTTTTTATTTTTATTGTAGTTATATCAATGAACGTGCTATCCTCTAGTAACATATTTTTATTCTTTATTTCATTTTTTTTTTTTTTATAAAAAATACATGATATTAAATAATAAACTAAACAATTAAAGTTTGTACTCCACAATTTTTATTTTTTTATTTTATTTTATTTTATAATATGTAACTAATAAAATAATAATAAATAAAACCATATGTAATATACAAGAGAAATAATAAAATGATCCATCTATTTACTAAATCAATCCATCCTATTGTAGAAAATAAGGGGGAACAAGAAAAATTGGAATGAGAGCTCAGAATGGAGAAAGGAGAATATGGAGGGAGGGGGGGGGGGGTTTGAGATGAAGAAGGATGTGAACAAATGGACTCGGGTTTGGAAACAAGGGAGTGGAGATGAGGGCCATGATTGTAATGATTGTTTTTAGAGACGGTCCATTTTTCTAATGATAGTTACAATAAGGTGGATCGATTTAATAAATGGAAGGGTAATTTTTAAAAAAATCATATATATATATATATATATATACAATAGTTTTAAACTAAATATATATTATCTAAAAATAAAAATGATAGAAAATCAAAGATAGTTTTATTTAATTGACAATTAATATCAAAATCAAATGAAGAATTAATATACACAAAACTTTTTCAAAAGTTGAAGATGATATTTTATATAGTATTTTTAACTTCATCTTTATAAAAGAAGAATTATTAAATTATTTTATTTTAAATGTATAATATTAATAAATGAACCTATACAATATTTTTAATAAAATAAATTATATTTAATTAAGATTTATTATTAACATACCATTGTATTTTTTATTTTTTATTTTTCTAAAATAGCATTACAGTTCACCAATTTGATATAAAAATTATGAGTTTAAATATTTATGATAGTACATGTTTTTAAATTATTAAAATATTACTTTAATATTAAAAAGATAAAATAATAGAATATTATAATATTACAATATTAAAATAATTATTATTATCTTGATAAAATTTTTACTCCTTTATAAAATTTTGACATAATAAATATTGTTACACACATTACTAAAGTGAAAAATATCAAAAATTGATCTAAAGCATTGATTTACCCCCTTTTGTATAAAAAGAACTAAAGAATTCAGTAAAAAGTTGAGTATTAAAAAAAAATAGATTGAAAGTAGGTTGGGACTAATATTAAAACTTTCTAGAATATAAATAATTTATTTCATGTAATTTTTTAAATATATATATATATATATATTATTTAATTTTAATTTTAAATACATAAATAAAATTTATTTAGGAATATTTTGTAGGGTTTAAAAATGTAATTTATTAATAACTTAAAGAAAACTTGTGTATTTTTAATAAACCATTGTGCTTCTTTGTGTTGCAAACAAGTAAAAATTTATTTATTTTACTTAGGTTTATAGAAATTGTATATATATTTTTGTTTTTGGTTTTTTATTTTAATTCTTTGTTATTATAGTTGGTTTCTCCCTTTGATACTTTGGCACTACTTTCTAAATTCCTTAGACTACTACTCTTAGGAATATCACTAGAAACTTATTCCTAAATTTCTAAGTTTCTAGAAAACCTCTATATTCTTGGTTGAGAAGAGCTTTAGGAGATACCAAATTATCCATGCTCTTCATATACTATATTTTTTTCTAAACCAGTTTTATGTTGTAATTTTTAATATAATTATATTATTCAATTAGTTTTTTTAAGTTTTAAAATTTTAATTCTTAAAAAAGAAAAAATACTATTTAAAAATATTTATTATACTTCTAAATACTATGACATCTTTATTTCCTTGACTATTGATAGAATGTCAATACACTAACAAATATATGTAGAAGAAATTTTTCTATTAAGAGATAACTCTTATTTTTTGTTAATACAAATTACACATGTAAAAAAAATGTTATTATTTTTATTATACAAGAGATATGTGCACACTCAAACATGTAAATTAATCTAATACTATAAAAATATTTTTTTGAATTTATTTTTTTGTGAGTAATAAATAAAAAATTAAAATTTCATATATACTTAGTTAATTTTTAAATTAATTTCAATAAAATTTCATTATTTAATTTTTAAATTAATAATGCTTTAAAATTATTTAGGTTTTTTTGTTTGATTTATAAACTATTCTAGTGTATAAAAGACCAATAAAGCAAAAAAATTAATATATAAATTTGAAGTAACATACTAATAAGATAAATATTCTAAATAAAATGTCAATTTATCCTACTATCAACTCTGGATTTACAGTGTACTTAGAATTAAAAGATGCCTTTGTAGTTAACACTAGTCCTACTTTTGAAAGGAAACTAATCAGTTTGCATCTGATCGATCCTTGTTCAATTACTTAACCAAAGCACATCACAATTATGATGGCAGAGTAGAATCTCAGTGGTGGGATCCTCTGAACATGTTCTTTTCTAAAACTGAGATGAAACTGACAAAAACATTGAGAATATTATTATAAGTGAGAAAAAGAGTGTACTGAATCCGAGCTTCAGATCAAGCCCTGGCGTTATGTTTGTAGCGCTATTTCTAACAGCGGCGACCAGAATCGACGTCAATATTGACCTGACTGTCATGCAGGGCGAGTCATAAACTGGGAGGTACTTCGAGACTGAGTGGCAAAATCAACGTGGAGAACTGTTGCTCTGTCAGCCGAGTATGTGTGTGAAGGCAAAAAGAGCTGCACAGTTTAATGCTTTCAATGGTGGAAACTGGAGCTGGTGCATGCTGGCGTCGAAAGTAAGAAAGTAGACACCTAGTTGTGTGTTTGTATCGATTCTGATGTATAACCCACTTCGAAGTTGGTCTTGGCTTTGGCCCCTCGCAGCGCCCTTGCGGCTGTAGACACAAACACCGCAAGTTCTCACACAAAGTTAGAAAATTGTGCAACATAAACAAGCAAGATGTGAAACTCCCGTGTTTAAAAACCAGATGCAACGGCACAGTATTTGTGACTTCCATGAGTTCTCGATGACGAATCTTACCACTGTCGTAAGCTCTGGCGGCATCTTCTGCTGTGTCGAATGTGCCCAACCAATGTCGGCACCGTCCAATTCGATCACGAATCTCAGCAGACCACCGACCCCAGGGCCTCTTCCTCACTCCTCGAAACGCTCGCCCCATTTTTCCTGCAGTTTCACGTCGTGCCGCACTATCGGCGCTGGTGGCTGTCCGGCTCGTGACTTGCGGACCCACCATTTCCCCACAGCTTTGCTTCAAGGAATCGAGGTTGAATTCTGATGCTATCGCCTCACGGACGTCCTGCAACTGCGACGATAGTCTGGAGATCTCTGGTTTTGATAGCGAATTGCTTGAGGTGATACTTGAATTCTCCATGGAGAATTTTGGTAATTCCGCGTTGAAACCATCAGCATGCTGATTTCCTCCTGACTCTCGGTTCAAACCGGGGATGTTGGCCGTTAGTGATGGCATCATCTGTGCGATCTTGTCGTCAACCTCAAATGGTATTCTAGAATTCCAAGATGAGGGCTGCGATCGGATCGTGGTCATAGTGTTGCTGTATGCATAACGACCTTCAGAGTATCGATTAGTACCGAACAGCACGTTATGTCCTATAACTGCTGCAATGCCATCTAAATCAAGCTGTTCGAGGTCAGAGTTGGATGGCAAGCTGGTGCCTATTGATGTAAATGGGGACGTAATTGGCAACAGTAATTGATCATCGCTGCCATCTGCTCCACGACAATGGAAATTGGTGTGGAAAACACCAAACGACTCCGATCCACCTGAAAGAGTATTGCCGTAACTGTCCACACTACTCTCGTCTAAAGTAGCAGCACCTTCCATTACGAAATCAGAAATATACTTAGGGGAAGAACAATGCAAGACACAACGATTACTATGCGAATGGAGTGTAGAGCCAGAGCATTGATGGCAGGCTATCCATGTTCGATCCTTATTCTGATCGCTATTGCCTCGAAATCCACCAATGATGGTATTCTTAATAGGAACTTCAGAAGTTTCGTCTCTCCGTTTGCGCTTCGTAAGTATGCGGCTGCTAAGCAGCATATCATGAAGTGCCATGATGATGGGTTATAATCTCCGAATATAGATACTATAGGAATATATTGACCTGAAAGTCCTCGATCAATGAATGCACTTTTAGGTGTGATGATCGATGCCTTCGGTCCTTTTTACAATTTAGTGCTTAGGTCCACTGTAAACCTGGTGAATCTTATTCGACCTCTATCAAATTTTCAATGGAGAAGCTAACAAACACAAGCACACATCTTTTATGTTTGTGCGATCGTGTGCTAGATAGAGGAAGAGAGAAAGAGAGAGCGAGAGAGATAGGGTCCTTTAATTCATGCCATCAGACTAGTGAATTGATCATTTCTAACTTCGTTAAATACGTACTCCGAATGGTGGTCCATGGCCTACCCGCAGATTATATTTCCACTGATGGTTCATTAAAGGGATCATTCCCGGAACGCTCGATTAAGTGCTCTCGAAATCTCGTTTGTCTCCGACTACTCAGTCTCTTCAGACGTTGCTGGAACTACTCTCAGGAATGTAAATTGTACTAGCCTAATTCTAAGTGTTGAAATCAAGTTCTAAGGCCGCCGTTGGACTATCCCCCTAATACTCTACAGCACGTAATGTAAGATTATAATGAAATGCAACTGATCCTCGCATGAAGTTTCGCAGCGAACTTATACTATCTTCCGCCTTTGGGTTACTGCTCTCAAGTGAAGAAACATTGTCTAATGCTCTGGAACATGATGCTTCTTATTGCCCCAGCTTCAGTTGTACTTGTACTCCATGCATATACAGTCTGCAGGATTCCTGCTCCAACCCAACAGAGACCGGTTTTCGATCGCCTGGGTTCGTGAGGCACACTAGATCCCTGCAGCGGAGCTGGTCAGGTCCCTAGTAAATATCTTCATATTTAAAACAACTTCATGGGGGTTCCAGACTCCACGTAACTCCCTTCAGAGTCTAGTGTCCGTGACAATATTCCTACAAGCAGAGCCACATAGACCAACCGCAGTAACGACAAGACACATAAACCCCCAGAAATATCCTTATGTTCTGGTATCCCCTTACACCGCATGTGGAGTGTAACATAGGCATACAGCCTCCAAGACCTCACAACTTGTGGCTTCTTGGAGCAGCATGGTAGGATACACCTTTCACATGCAGCACCAATTGATACTTCGCACAATGTCACGTGTAGATTGCAGCAGTAGCAACATTAATCCCAGTCTCTGCTCGAATACTAGCACTGCAGTTGCTGAAGCATGGTAATGTCCGACAGTACTGAGGTCACATTTATGTGAAGTCTTTGTAAGGCAGCAGCGACCAGCACATCGGCTCACAATGAACACCAACAATAATTAATTAATTTTAAAAAGTATAAGATGGATAAGATAGCACTTTAGAATGATCAAGTGATTATGAGCATGAACAAAATTAAATTTCCACACATCGCAATCCCTAAAGAAAAAGAATCTATCGATCACTAGTTGTCTTGAATTTCATCTGGAAGTGGCAGGTAGTGGTAGAATGTCGAAATTAAATTCTCTATTGGTTCATGATAAGCCTATTACATCATGTTCTGAAATAAGAAAAAGAAGGTGGGATGGACAAGTTACCATAGACTGATGAAACCTTGTTCGACTGTTGGGGGATATTTAAAATTCACCTGACTATTTTTGACCTTCCCTCCAACTTTGTCCACAAGGACAGAATCTAGTGTGACCAGTTTCTGCCAAGGGACGGCAACCTTTCCAGCGCACTCACTTTTGGTTTCAACCGCCTCGGCACCGCAATCGTGTGCGCAGAGCACTTGAAATGTTGTGGAGACCTTGAGCTGGTTGCATCCTGTAAGTAGTTATAATGGACAGCTTTTCCAGTGTCACGGCACAACAATCTAGGCATTCAGCAATCTGTCTCCAGCAGGGAATCGAATAGGCTAGAACTGAAGGACCCAATTTGATTCTTTGCAAGAAGTTCCAAGTGCAACACTCCAAGACCCCGGACGTCACATAACTATGCAATGCACCGAGAGTAAAGATAAAGCAGCACTTTGAACTGATCATGTGATCGGAACCAGTAGTAAAAGTTTGTTTCAAACCTTGTTTCATGCGCACTTCACTCCGTAGGTTCTAAGTCAGATTTTCTCTTCTTTGATGCGAATTCATTCTCAGAACGAAGCTTGAACTAGGGCTTCCCTTCAAAAGCAAATCATAGGTGTTACCAACCTTTGAGTGCAGGCTGCAAGTGCAATAGTACATCAGATCTGAAGCAACACCAGGGAGACTGTTGTCAGGTTCATTGCAGGGCCAACCTCAGGACTGCGAGGATCTAAAGCTGGATTGCCTTGAGCACAAGTGCAAGTCGAAAAATGAACCTAACCTCAGGTTTCTTGTCGTCCCTATTGGCTTGCAAGTGCATTATTCTAAGGTTACTAAAGCTTACAAAGCGGGGGTAGTAGTATCACATCAAATCTATCATTTCACTAGCTTGAAAACTGGCAAACCCTGCCAGCCTTGAGCTTTCAAAGTCTTCAAGGAATTGGGCTTTTCAGGACCCTGTGGCCCACTCTTAACCAGTTCACAAAGACTTCCGGAACAGCTTGGGGTCATCAAACGAGAAAAATGTGTTGATGTTTTAAAATATAAAAAAATGAAGAGGTCAATGATAATATGCCAACATACGCATCAAATGATCCAATTTTGCTTCGGGAAGGAGGAAGATGAAACATAATTTGTGAAGAATATTAATGGAGTCACATAATGCAATCTTGCCATAGCAACATCATTAAAAACCTGTGGAATGAATTATCTGTGAAACCACAACTATTTCCACCTAGCCATCAGTTGCTTGTTTAATCACTTTTAGTTGGTTTTCTTGGAGGGTTTAAAGGATGAATTCTTCCTGGTCCAATGCTTAGCTTTATATGAATTGTTCAGTTGCAGTCTGTAGTTGAGGTCTTCCAAGACAAAGTTCTCATTATTTCTTGGATACAATCCACACCAATGAGGGGGCATACTTTGCAGTAAAGACTTTACTGATTTTACTGGCTCTCTCATGTGGAGATCCACATGATTTCCTGACCGCCTTGAAAAATACGTAGAAAGTGTTAGGAATTGTTGGGGATTAGAGACGCTTCACTGCAATCCTGCAGGTTTCAGTAGGCCACTATTGGTGATACATTTCTTGTCTGGAAGCTCCACAGAGCCTTTGATCGAACCACGTCCCCTCTTTCTGACACTTCCTTCTAGGATGTCGCAAATATGTCCAGATCAGGAGGTTCAATCCAGTTGAACCAATGCACATGCTTCAAAACCTTTGGAATTTTCACATTTTGCTTGACCTTGTCACTTGCTTATCACTCTTGCTAAGTTTGAGCTTGATTTTGATAACAATATATGTAGGAGAGCAAGGCTTAAATTTTGTGTATGCAATCAATTAAATGCAGAGCTGAATTTGGGCTTTGTAGATGGGGAGTCAGGCATGAGCTTTTTCCAGAGCCAAGGCTGCTAACCCTGGTCAAGTCTGCTAACCCGCTTGGAGAATCATCAGATTCTGAATTGGGTTTCCTGGTCAGTCATTCTGCACTAATGGGAAAGAGGTAAAATGAAATAATCTGATCCATTGTTTATACTTTTTTTTGCAAAATCACTTCACTGAACATAAAAAGTTCCAATTCTTGTTAAGGAAGACAAGGCAAGTTTTCAAACCTTTGTCAAGATATATCATTGGTAATGGTTCTTGCCACATACAAATCACCTAATTCAGTATACAAAAAATTTATGAAATAGCATGTGAAACATAGGTTGTTGTTACATGGTCAATATAGTATTCCACATTAGACTCCAAGCAAGTGTCATAGAACAGTGAAACTTAGCAATTGCTTATGCTGTAGAAGAGCTGCAATCTTACAGATTTAATAGAATTAAAAACAGTTATTTCCTTTTTCTTTTCTCTTTAAAACATGAGTCAAAACAGAAGGAGTTGCACTAAAAAGCCATGAGTTAACATAGTACAAAACTCCAAATCCAGAGATTATAGGGACAATTGTTTATGGCAAGGTGATATATTGCACAAACTAATGATCTTGTAATAAATGGAACCTAAGCTTAAACATCCTACACATGACCAGTCACCTACACATAATGTGGAGGATCCCATTGGTCAAACTTCTATAAACTAAAACATTTGACCAATTCTATTGCAGAAGATTATGAGACACTTCACCTCCCCCACACAACACAGATCTTTCTCCTACCTCCATCTCACTAGGCTCACCCTTCTAAGAACAGTACCTAAGTTTTACTTTTTCAAACACCTGTTGACCAAGATTTGTGACAAGTGGTTCCATCCAAACCACACTGCAGCAAACTAAAAATATACAAGTAGTGGTGAACATAGATTTAATACCTATTGTTTACTCACTGTTGTCTACAAACCTGTTGCTAGTCATTGTAATGTAAAAAACACACAAAGTCCTGAGAAAGTGCAAACATGTTCATCCAACATACATGATACTCTCAATGGTATTGCATTCAGTAATCATGAATTTCATACCAATCACAGATTGTTTAAAATGGGTGTTGTTGCACATACTTCTTCTGCCCCAAGGGTAAAAAAAAATTCCAAAATTATTCAAAAAACAGCAATACAAAAAACAAAACAAAACAAAACATAACCAAAATATGTTGAGCTTACAACAAGCAACAGTCTGATAGAAATAATTCATGCATAACAATGCAAAAGTATTTCAAAAGTTATGACAAAATTCTTGAACTGTGCAAAAAAATAGGTTCATATTTAATAAATAACTGAAAAGACTTGCCAAAAACTACTCAAGAGATGAGGATGGGATGCAAGGGAATGCAGGCTTGATGGGGCACACATGTAGTGTTGGATATATTGGTGAGAATTCCATTCCCTGCCAAACCCCTCAGGAGAGGAGAGAAGGTGGACTGATGGGTTGAGAAAAGCGGTGATGGGCTGATGGCAAATGTTTGTTGGTTTGGGTGATTGTTTGGAGGTGTTGGTCCAGGTATGTTTGAGGGGCATTTGGGTGGACATGGGATGGCAGTGTGTAGACAGACAAGTATGAGAATTGTGGCATGTGTGATAGGTATCTTGTGGAAGTAATCTTGGATCGGGGCTATGGTGGGGAGAAAGAGGCAGCTGATATGAATGAGCTTTGCTGACAGGCGATTCCATGTCATAGGGTGAGTGCATTATGACAGGTTTGGACAGCCCAGGGACTTGTGTGTTGTGCAACTTTTGAGTTGAAATATGTTTCAGAAGTAGAGAGAGTCTTTGTCTTTGTCTTTGTCTCATAACCGATCCTACAGCAGAGTTGGATGATACTCCCTTTTGGCAGTGTGTGTTTGTTTATCCCAGCCGTGGCCAGTGAAAACAACACCTCATCTCACAACATTTGCTGCAGAATGAAGAAACTGTGTGCATTCAGGATCCATCAGCGAGGAGGGGTCTGTGCAAATGGGGGGTGGGGAAAAGTAAAGTAAAATTAACAGGTTGTGGTAGGTCCCGGCGAGATTTGAACTCGCGTTACTGGATTCAGAGTCCAATGTCCTGACCGCTAGACTACGGGACCTCGCCGCAGCACTCCCGGTGGGACTCGAACCCACAATCCCCTGATTAGAAGTCAGATGCCTTATCCATTAGGCCACGGGAGCCGCGCTCGAATTGATGTCTCTTCCCTAATCCATCGCAAAACTTAAACAATTATTCGACGCATGCGTCACCTCCACGTTTTCATTTTGAAACATTCCTCCTCTTATCAACATATTTTTTGGAAGAGTTTTTGGTTGCATATTTATAAAAAGAAAATTCAATCTAAAAAACTATCAATAATCCTATCTACATATATGTAGTTGGATCAACATTAATACCAACATTTGTAAACACTTTTTGATGATTAAATTATTTCCAATTCAACAGATTCTGATTTTTCGAATTCATTTCAGTTTTTAATTCTTTTATAGTAATCTTTTCGATTACAGACATTCATCTTTTTTTCTTTTTTTTTTCTTCTTTTGTTGAGTTCATAATAATATGGACATGCTTTCATTACATTGTTTTCAAATGCAGTCTTAAGTATTATAAAAATAAATAAAAATCTTATGTACATGTATCATTTTAAATAAAAGTCTACACAGAGAACTGAAGAAACAAACCTTTGAGGTTTAGTGACTTTCGAAGATTTAGAAGCTGTACACACAAGTTAAGCAACATGCATGCAAAGTTCAAATTTGTAATGCCATTTGTATACATATCCACTTGCACAGAAAACCTATTTTTGGCAAAAATTACGTTACAAAATTTCCTGAAATTTTACCAACAATTTTAGGATATATGATAGAGTTCATAGGATTATAATTTTAATGTCCATGTCATACAATAACAATTTTAAGGGGTGGATAACAAGATATACAGCAGTTAATTCACAATTGCATGGTGGGTTTAGAATTCATTGCATATGCGGTTTCATAATTTTAAAGTCTAGGCCACTAAGTAAAACATTTAGAGTAACATTTGTAAGATTATAAGTACAAAAGAGACAATGTAAGATATAGGGTATAGAGTTTGAAACTTAGGAGTTAGGGCATGCAATTTAAGGTTTGTATTTTAAAATTTAAGGTGTAAGACTGTATATTTCACATCTTAGGATTTATGGTTTAAAGTTTGGATTTCTAGATATAAGGTATAGAATGTATATTTTGAATTTTAAAAGACACTTACATCAAGGGTGGAAAACTTAGCATTGAAGTATGTGAAGAAATAATAAATGTTAGAATTCATTCAAAATCAATTTAAATTAAAATATGTAGAAACATAATAAAATTAAAATATGAATATAATATAATGAATATAGTCCTTATTAGGTGGTTATTTCTCTTGAAATTTAGTAATTAATAATAAAAAAATATTAATTAAGTTTCAAAATATAATAATAAAATATTACAAAAAAATAAAAATAAAATTTTATATCTTTAAAAAGAAACTAAAATAGAAATTGGATGTAAAACAACTTTGGTTGGTCAACCTCAACATAGGTTATTTATTAGCAAGAGTTGCTTTAGCATAACAAGATCAAGATTTAATTTTTTTTATCTATGCTACTAAATTCATTAACAAATAAAATATACAATCTATTGTTGTTTTAGGACTCATCTCAATAATTACTTTAAAATTTTTGATATTGAATTTTTTATCATATTTTTCTTAAATTATAATCTAAATATATATATATATATATATATATATATATATATTTATTATTATCTTATGTCAATTTATTGTGGTGGGCAATCAATGTTCGTTTTTACAAATAGCTAATGGCTTTAGTCTTCCTCCTATTCACATTGGACTTTTAATTTTCTTTTTGCATTGTTGGATTGTGTATATTCCTTGTATTCTTGGGCTTTTGCCCTCATTGCCAGACTCACAAGAATACTTAATAAAGGCCGACATATTTTAGCAACATGCATGCACATTCCTTCTATTATTTTCAAATGCAA